ACTATTCTGGTTTGGTTTCTGTTGCTATGATAAAACAATGACTGGGTGCTGGAGTGATAGCCTAGATTTGATTTCTTTTTTTAAAGATTTATTTATTTATGTATATAGTATTCTGTTTGCACATATGCCTTTAGGACAGCAGAGGGCACCAGAACTCACTACAGATGATTATGAGAGGGCGTATGGTTGCTGGGAATTGAACTCAGGACCTCTGGAAGAACAGCCAGTGCTCTTAACGACTGAGCCATCTCTCCAACACTATATCTGTATCTTCAGTCCTAGAGGATCTGATGGCCTCTTCTGGCCTTTGAAGGCACAAGCATGCAAGGGAAACACAGACATATATTCAGGCAAAACAGCTATATCCATGATTTTTTTTTATTTATTTATTTTTTTTTTTTACATAAAAATAAAACACTGGCTAAAACCTGTTTTGGATGAAAGGGTTTGTTTGTCTTATATGTTAAATCACTGAAGGAAGCTGAGGTAGGAACTCAGGCAAAGACCATGAAAGAATGCTGTTGCACTGGCTAGCTCTCCTGGCTTGCTTAGCTAGCTTCCTTTGGTAGTCCAGGCCCACCTGCCCAGGGATAGCACTGCCCTTGGTGGGCTGGGCTACATCTATTGGCAATGAAGAAAATGCCTTACAGACATGTCCATGGACCAATCTGATTAACGACATCTCCCAGTTGAGACTCCTTCAGGTAACTCTGGGCTGTGTCAACTTGACAGCTGAAGCTGACTAGGACAGAGACTGTTGGTCCATGTCATCATATCTTGTGCCACAGACCCAGTGATCTTACTTGGAGATGCAGACTCCTGCAATCTTACAGCTTCACCATGATAAGACCTTTGCAGGTGTTCCCTTATTGTGAAATCCCTCCCAGATTGTGAAGTTGCCATAGTTCTTGGTGGGGAGCAGGGTGGAAGGGAAAGGACCTTCAGGATGAGCAGCTACATGCCATGAGTTGTGCTCTCTTGACAGGTCAGACATGCATCCAAACAGCTGTAAGCAGGTTGTTCCATACACTGCCAACCCCAAAGTGCCCCCTCACTTACACTATGTATGGAAGAGAA